CCTTGCGTATGCGCTTGACCCTTCCGAGAAGGATGCGCACCCACTTGGTGTTTTATGCGCACATCTATCTTCTTGTGGCTCAATTGTTAGCTGTACAGCGAGCAAACGTTTCGTGCAGCAGCACCCATCGCCCAAACAGCTCTTCGTCATCCGCAGCAATTTTGCTAGGGTCGAGCACCACAGAATCGTCTGCAACGGGATACAGGAGCGCCTACTCTTTAAGCACGAAGTCAAGTGCGGTACGTATCCACCGGAATTTTCTTAGTAAACAAGAAGCGAGATCGGAGAACTTTTCGCCAAGGCTTTTGTGTAGTGACCGCAGGGTCACGTAGACGCCTAATGATCGAGTGATCGCGACCTTTGCTTCTGTAGCGGAATCCACCTAGCGGGAGCCGTATTCCACACGAGGGTCAAGGACCGACCGTGGATGCGCGCACATGAAAGACGCCTTGCGAACAGCATGCAGCCGCTGCTTCTGTGCCTCGTCGAGGTCTTTGATAAAGACACCACTTCCTCCGGAAGTCGAGAGTTTGAGAATCAGACACGGCGTCTGCAAGGTTCAAGCAGGGCTCACTTCGCGCCGCTAGGGTATCTCGCCCTCTTCTTCTTACCATTTTGGGAAAGGAGCTTCCGACTCGTAGTCGACTTCCTTCAAATTCTCGATGAGGTACTCGGCGGGCACGGTGCGTGTTTGAGAGTAGACATCGCGTCTGTGTTCTTGGTCTTGCGACCCTGTCGCTGGCAATGTGCTGCGCGATACTCGGTTACCGAGAGTTCGGGGTGCGCTTCCCTTGAAGCCGTGGACGCGCTGTTCGAAGTTGCACCGCGTGCAGGAAACAAAAAAGGGCTTTGCCCTCCAGCATTCCCGGAACCAGCGAGGCCGATCGTCTTTCGTTCCCTCGACACAGTGCTCATTAAGCAAAGTTGTAAAGAAAGTCCTCGTGATATTGTGGTGTCTTGGACCTGCGAGCCTCGTTCGAAGCGACAGTTGAATGTGAACTGTAGGTATTCAAAATCTTGATAGGGGAGACTTTAACGGGTGTCTCCATAGATAAAACACCGCCAGGTGTTCGAACGCTGTTCGGCAAATCGGGGCTATGCATCCTCGTCCTCAAGATCCATCGGCTCAGGCCCGCTCGACAAGATGCTAGAGTGTGCATTCCAACCAAGTCGTGTCGACTAAAAGCTGAATTCGGTATTCAATGCCACACTCACCGATTCTTTAAAAGAAGGCGGATGAACACGGAAGACTTTCATTCTGGCCACGCCAGTGCGGAAGCCCACCATGAAGACGGTCACTGTGACCGCCTCGGAAAGAAGATCAGCTGTCATACCGGCGATGATATTACGCAACTTTTGGACAAAGTCCACCAGTTCCTTCTTGCTCTGTCGGGCGGCAAGGAAACGCGATCGCACGCGATATGTCTGGTTAGGCGGCAAGAACACTCGCAAAAGCTGCACCTTTAGCTCCGTCCATGGGGAAACGCCCCTTCGACCGAAGTGCCGCACGTTAGTGCCCATTCTCGCACTCAACCATCGAGTTTGGAGACTGCCAGCGCCCCGCGCTGTTGCTCGGTCTGGAGCATGGTGGACGCCATGGTCACCTCAGCCTCTCTCGCCCAGAGCAGTGGATTTTCTC